TTTTACCTTTCAATTTCTAACATAATATGCCATTGTGTAAAGATAAAGAATCCCACTGTGCCCAATACATCTTGGTTTTGGGGCTGTGCCATGATAGTCTTTCTGTACCATTCCTGAGCCAGTGAGTAACTGGCTTTAAACCCTTATCCTTTGCCTGAGCATCTTTCAGATGAATGTTCAACTAAATCAGTTCCTCATCACCAATTATGGATGCCACATCTTGGACTACACTTTTTGTACTTTAAAGCTTGATAGTCTTCATGCTTCCCTCTTCTCACAGTGGTTACACGTCTCTTTAACATATGGACTTTGAGATAATGCATTAGCATTTCCATGGTTCCATTCAGGGTGATGTATGATGTTAAAGTTGTAACCCTAGAGTTTTTGCTATTTAATCTTCTGTGTTCTGAAAATTCACTAGCTATTTCAATGCTGCATGATCAATCTGGAGTATAAACTTTTTTTCATTTAGATAATGATGGAAATGACTTAGAACTTAAACAACACTAAGTAGTTCTTTTCTAGTTGTACAAAACCTCCTTTTTGCAGCATTCATTGCCTTCTATAGTAAGCAATCACATGTTCTTTTCTGTGTTCTACTTGTGACAAAATTGCTCACATTTTAAAATCACTAGTATCTGTATCTAAAATGAGTGAGTCTTGAAGATTTGGGCATGCCAATACAAGAATAGTAGTCAATTCCTTCTTCATTCTGTTAAATTGAATCTTGTTCACAGTCCAACAAAGACGTACTTGACTTCTCAAGCAATTTGTGTAGATGATGAGCTATGCCAGGGAAGGATTTTACAAAACAATGATACTAAGAACACATTTCAAGAAATTCCCTTTCTTTATGCTGGTTCATTGATGTTTGTCAGTTTTTTACAGAGTTAGTTTTTATGGATCTGTAGACACACCTTCTCTGCTTACTATGTATCTCAGGAAACTCACCTGTTGATGGAATAATTCACACTTGTTGGGATTCAGCTTATGCTTCTGTTTCCTCAACCAATCCAAAACTTTCATTTGCCCATCATAAGCATTATCATAAGTCTTCCCATGTGTGATTATGTGACTCAAGAAGATGAGTATGATGTTCCAAGATAGTTTAGACAGAGCACACAGTATTTATTGTTGGAATGTAGCTGGAGCATTACATTATCCAAATGGTAACATGACAAATTGCCACAATCCATTTCCTGCAGTAAAGGATGTATTCTCACTACTTGCTTTGTCAACCTCCACTTGCCAATATTTGCTCTTAAGATCCATTGTTGAAAACCATTCTGATTCAAATAGTGGATCAAAAATAGAGTTATTCCTTGACAGTGGGTATGCATCATTCTTTGAAATTTCATTCACCTTCTAGTAGTCTACACAGAACATTATGGATTCATCCTTCTTCTTAACAAATACAATAGGGAACGTCCAAGTACTAGAACTTGGTTCTTTCACTCTTTTTTTCTTCCATGGCTTCTATCTCTTTGAAAAATTCATCATATTTTGCAAGTGGAAGTTGTCTGGCTAATTGGTATATTGTGGCTGCATCTACAGTATAGATCTCTAGAGACATTTCACTTGTTCATATTAATTCATGAGGTCCACTATAGTTTTCTTGATATTCTAAGAGTAAGTTATGTAACTGCTGGCACTGATATGTTGTAAGACCTCCACAGCTCTGCTCATACAGGTTTTTAAGTGAAGTGGTAAGCCATTCTTATGTAAGAGTTATCATCAAACTTCCTACATCATTCTTTAGTGATTAATTTGATGTCAAAGTACTAACTGTGCAGCCTCACATTTTGCATTGTCCCATCCAGGTTTGACTCAAATCTTAAGGCTTGTTGTATTCATGGCCCTAATGATGTCATCTTTATTCCTCAGATCAACAAGAGCTCTACTCACCATTAATCCATCAGGGTATGCTGGAGTGTTTGGTTCTAATAGGGTCCAGTTATTAGATGTAAAGTTATTTTTAACATGTCCTGTACTTCTTGGTGTTATGGTAACTGCTTTCCTAGTTGTCATGAGAAGTCCAATCTCTTGTGTAGTAACTGCCACATAGTGCAAAGGAATTTCCTGCTCACAGACTGTCAAGCTATTGGAAGTTAGTCTAACCTTGTATCCATATTCTTGCATGAAGTCTGTTCCCAGTATACATTCTTCATCAATGTCAATTACCCACACATCATGAAGTATAGAGAAGTCTTCTGCAGTAAGGATAACTTCCAACTTTCTTTTTCTGGAACCTTATGTTCACTTGATGTTTGCATCACTTCTTTTTCTTCTTTATTCATACCTTGAGGCAATTTATCACCTTTCATTACCAAAACAGGTTGAATTAGTGCAATAGTAGAACTCATATTGATGCACATACTGCAAGGCTTCTTATCAATAGACCCTTGGACTCGTGGATTGGTTTCTTTAAACAGTGAATTTCTTATCTCATTTGGAGCAGCTGGGGTATTCTCAGCTAAACATTGACCCATAATTCCCAACTAATTCCTGTTTCTCACTGTCTGGTTGAACTTTTGTTGTTCCTTGGATCTGGTTTGGCTCAAAGACTCATCCTTGAGGTTTGTCTGTTTGGTGTCTTAATTGCTGTTTATTTCTTGTAGTCTCAGCTGTAATGGTGAGGTTTTCCATGCATCTATAACAGATCTCTCTTTCCAGTATTCTATGAGAGAAGTTCCTATTTCTTAAAAGCTTTTGTCTGCAATTCTTCACAATAAGTCCTTTTATGTTACACATATTCCCCATATTTCCCATATTCTGAGCAATCAAATGATTTCAAACTGAGCTTGATATGACTCCCATTGCTCCTTCCCATCAAAGTTCATTTGTTTCTTAATTAACCAATGTAGAACTGGCCAGCTAAATTCTGGAACTGAATTGGATAGTTTCACAGCTGTAGTAGTCCAAGAAGGCCCTCCAGTAACAGGTGTACTCCTATTACATATGTAGTAGTAGCTGGTGTTTTAGGTTAGAACTCATGAGCAAATGCAGAACGAAGTGTGGCTGGTTTAATTTTTCCATTTAATAATTCATTTTCCACATATTTTAATTTATTGCTGATGTTCTTTCCAACTTCATTAATGTCTTTCTGTACTTCATTTTGTATTTGTCAGTCTCCTTTTGTACTTCACTGATGTCCTTCAGCATTTCTTCAAACTTACTGTTGTAATCCCTCTGTATGTTCTCTATATTTTCATTTAACTTGTCTTCAATCAGATTTATTTTTTATCTTAATTCATCTTTAAATAATAAGTTTCTTTCTTTTAACTCCTCTTTTAAATTCTTGTCACATTCAACTTTTCGTGTTGTTTTAGATTTCTCTCTCTTTCTTTTTGGTCTTCCCTTAATTTGTAAATTTCTCCTTCATCTTCTTTAATTTTCCTGTCTTTCTTCTTGTATTATGTTCTTCTTGTTCTTTAAATGTTATGGCTCTTTCTCTTTGTTCTTTTTTTCTATTGTTTTATCATGTTTAGCAGGTTTCCTATTTCACTCTGTGCCCTTGTAGTCATCTTGAGAGTTGAAGTTCTATTTCAACTATTCCAAGTTCTGTTTTATTTTCACCAAAAATTAATATCCCATTTCTGACACCAGTTTGGTAGCATTGACAGGTTCTTTAAAATTATCAAGTGAAAAATAATTCAAAGTTCAGTCCACCTAATGAGACAAAATCAGTTTATATCCTCCTTAGTGCTTCTTAACGAATAGACCTAATTTACAAATGACATTTAACCACTCTAACAACAGTACTATAACTTAACTACAATCAATAGCATTGTACAAAATAGAATTATAACTCTTTTTTTTATCTCGACTAACTTTCAAGTAAACTAACTCTATGCTTCACAGAATTTCCTATTTATAATTCCTTATAATTTAGTTTGAAAGTGTTAGAACAAAACTTTATGTCAAATTAGAACTTCCTAGTAAAGCGCCCTCTAGCTAACAAAGAAATTAGAACATTAAAAAATATGTAGCTTACAACAATACATATATTTTGTAATTTAAGAAGAAATTATTGTTTGCAAAGTTTTAATTAACTAATGGTGTTACCCTTTTTTTTTCTATGTTTTTTCCATATATAATGTTTAACGTAAAAACTTGCATTATGTGTTATTTTAAAATATACAGCACTCAGCTGGTTAGTATGAATGAATTATTGCTCTGGATATTAGTATTTATTGAGTCAGAGTAGTATAGTGTAACTATTTGGATTTATATTTAACTTATTTATAGCTTTACATTTTGCACAATCTGTACTTTTAGATAGCCTTGGGTGGAGCATCATTCTTGTGTGTTAGCCTAGGAGGCTTATTAATTGGAGTATTAATGGGAGTTATCACAGCACTTGTTACTAAACAAACACAACATGTCCGAGGTAAGGTAGTACTTCTTTCAAACTCAAAATAAGCAGAAATTACGTTTTCAAATAATATTCCCAAATAGGAAAAGTATTGTTGCGTCAGTGAGGTCACGTGACTAGTATCATGCCACTCCTTCTCTCGAACATTCGGGAATTGTCGGGAGATTACTAGATATAGGGTAGTCTGGTATATATAAGATGGTGACAACGTGATGGGACAATGCGTAGGTAGTGAGTAACTGAACTGCAGTCAGAGTGTATTGTTGAAGTTGAGCACATTCGTTGTTATAGCGTTTGTTATAGCGCAACTGTTGAAATTAAGTGTATCGTAAAGTTGTATTCGGAAAGAATAAACCAGTTTTATTAAGTAAGGACTTGTGTCGCTAAAGTTTCGTCGGAACGAAGTTACGGGAAATCAATTAACAAACAGAGATGTAACAGTATTAATCCTTTTTACCATCTATATACAGAGATGTTAATAGAACAATAAATCATTGGAAAGACCATTACAACAGAAATGGAGAAATGTACATCCCGAGGAATGGTTTGCTTGTTGGTTAAATGCACAAACTTATGCCCCCATATCTTCAGTGGGGCAGGACACCATCTTTGTATATTTTTTATTGAATCTCTTATGTAATACATAGAGCAAGCTTTTCATACGACAGATTTCATGGGACAGGCCATACAAACAGTGGTGTAGTGCTAAATACAAAAGTGCCAGAATGCAAAATCCACAGCATAACCATATAAAGTGTGATTCATTCGAAACAGTGGAATTACAGTGTTCAAACTAAAAAAGTTACAGGTATGCTGTGCCCATGCATTCCCACTGCACTACACCTCTGCTTATATGTGCTTCATTATAGGTAGAGTTTGTTTATAATATCTAACATGCAAAGATCAAAGGTTCAGGATAAGAACCCTTAGTGCAGCTATATCAAAAAGTGGTACTCTTGGCACTGTCAAAAATGCAATTTCTTTCAAAATCACTGCTAGAACAATATATGATATCATGATTTTCACTTCCATAAAAATGTTCAGCTCACTTTATGTAGAGATGAAGGAGCCCTCTCAAGGAATAATTTAGTTTCTGGGTTCTTAGGCAAATGTAAAAATATATGAAATATCTATATTACTTTCACATGCAGAAAATGAGGAAGGATCAACTGCCAATAAGTGTCTTCATTTTTAGCCAAATAGGTTTTAGCAAGTTAGCAAGAGTTTTTAATAAGTTAATTGAAGATATTAATTTTATCAGTTGCAAAAAAAGTTCATAAAAAATGGTAAAGTATTATCTATGTGGTTCTTTCCCAGTCCTGCTTTGAAAAATTATATTTTTTATACATTGCAGCAATACTTTTAATAGTTTCGTTTTGAAATTACTTACATTCTCAAGTACACAAGTTTTCTAACTTGTGTACTTGAGAATGACTGAACCAGTGATCAAAACATCATACCTGTTCTAAATACAAATGTTATTTACTGTAAAAGCTGTAACTTGTAATAAAATATTGCACCAATACATTATGCATTTTATCAGGTTAAATTACAGACATTAATTCTTTTGTCATTGCAATATTTTTGGTCTTAATATAACTTTATTTTGTAGTATTTTAATTATATCTTAATATAAAATGTAACAGGATCTGGTTTTAATATTTTAATAACTAGTTTCTGTTAGTTTTAGTGATCAGTGATCTTTCCTTGCTTAATATGTTCACAAAAACATTTTCTGGCAATAAATGCCAATTTGTTGTTAATAAAACATTTTTGTATGTTAACTTTTTTTTCCAGTTGTTGAGCCCTTGGCAATGTTAGGAGTAGCTTATTTGTCATACTTGCTTGCTGAAATGGTTCACTTTTCTGGTATTATCAGGTGAGTCACTAAATTTATTATTTTGACACGTAGATTTCAAATAATTGAACACTGTTAATTCATTTGTAATATTCTTAAACAAAGACAAAAAGATTTCTTTTTGATGGTAATGATGAGGTATTGTAAGTTAATTAAAAACAATTTCAACAGTATACATTAGAGGCAGTGTAATTCAAATTTTTGATCAGGATACTACATAGGAGACTAGGAGTATCAGGTTTTTTTATTAATTTTGTTTTGTTTTATCATCATGGAAAGATTTTTCAAATTTTCACATGATATACATATTTTATATCTGTTTCAGTATAATAGCCTGTGGTCTGGTTCAAGCCCAGTATGCCCGTTTCAACATTTCTCAGAAATCATACATTACTGTTAAATATTTTATTAAGATGCTAAGGTAAGTCACTGATAGAAAAGTTTCATTTAATTGTTATATATTCTTGTTTTCAGTAACCAACCCTAAATGCTGTGTCATAAAATACTAACTTGGTAAACTATCAAACCTCTGTAAGTCTATGAAATCTGATGAGATATTTTATTTAAATTGCACTTTTTTTTCACGGTCCTTTTAGTGGGTGCATTTTGGATGTTAAAGTATAAATTGTAAACAAATAGCATTTATACAGCCTAGTATGAGAACTCATGAGCTGGGTTTGATATATTAGAGCCTAAAGTTATTTGAAATGTTTTTGTGATTACCAAAGACATAACATCACTGTGAGAAATACTTATGAAGTTAACAAAAACATAAAAGCTATAGGAGTATAAGAATCTGATGATATAACATGTTAGACTGCTTATGTTTTTTTTCATTCCCTGTATTCTCTTAGGCAGTTTATTTCAGTTTCTACAGAGATTATTGAATGATGGTGTTTCAAGTTTTCTTTTGCTCTCCTGTCTTCCAGGACCTAATGTCATCACTGAGACAGCCCTGTGTTTTTTTTAAATGTCTGACTGTCTAGTTTATCACATTTATTACACCTAAAGAAGTTTCTATCTTCAACATCTTTATAACTTTTACACCATAACGTTTTCAGCCCAAAGTAACTAAGGGCAAATATGAAGTGCTATTTGTCCACACCTCTAGTTTACAAATTTAAATTTGTATTATCCTATGGAGTGAAAACATTTGCAATTTAACACAGTCTGTTATTTTTCCTTATATCAACAGAACCTATTATCAAATACCTATGTATGTTTTATCATTATTATCAACTCAGCTCATCATTATCAACTGATTTAAGAATCTACAAAGCAAAAAGTCATGTTTTCTGAATATTTGTGAAGTAGGGAACACCATGTGTTTTTTATGAATTATATTAAGGTATTTTGAGCTATGTCGTACTGAGAAAATCAATAAAAATTCAGGTATTTACATTATTCAGTAACTTTTGTACATGTTTCCTGAAAGTTTCTGTAAATAGATACTGTGTATCTCTGAACATAAATATTTATTTTTATTTATATATTTTTTTGTATAAGTATGTGATACAATTACGATTAGCAAGCATCTTTTTGCAGTGCTAGGCTATTGTTTTTCTCAGAAGCAGAAATAAAACAAGCTTGATTTAAAATGTTTAGGTTTTCTAGTAACAATTTTTTTTAATTTTGTGAGTGAGTGTGATCCAAAAGGATGACTGAAGTATTATTCAAAATTAAGAAAATCTTCATTAAAAATTAAGTGTCAACATGAAGAAGGAGATAAATAGTTAATGTATTCAGATGTTATATTGGTTTCATACATTAGGCTAGTGTTTTTCTAGCAAAAGCTAGTATGTTACCCATCTAGCTCATTTGGAGAGTACTTGTTTGCTGTACAAGAGGTCTCAGGGTTGAAGGAAATAATAAATGTAAAATTATCACAACAAAAACAGATACCTAGCATGGGGTTTTCCCACAAGCCTGAGATAAAGCCTAAGGACAGGCCTTATTTGTGAGAGGAGAAGAATATGGTAGTTTGATTTGTGCCTTACTAACAAGTGTTAGTAAGTTAACCCTCTAGCTTAGTCACTAAAGCATTTATTTGTAGTGTGAGTAGTTCAAGGTTCAAATCTGGCATGAGGGAGTTTAAAGAACTTTAAATAATTACAACATAAGTTTAATTCATATGTCGTACTACTTGCAAGTTATTTAGACGAATGAGATTAGGAATCATTTGAATTGTGGTTATTCCGGAATGAATCACCTGTTTTAGCACTTAGAATTTCAGCAATTATTTTGATAAACCATGATACATAAAACAAGTAATTTAATGTGTTTCTCTAGGTTCAGTGTATTATTAAGATCTTAGTTTTTATCATGTCTGTGAGTCATTTGTCAATTTCAAAGGAGCATTATTATATTTTTTGCTACATTATATATATATTTTTTTCTAAGGATTACCAGTAGGCCATGAATAAGGACCAAAATCAGTTTCATATTCATGGCTGAGATATATTGTTAATCTGCAATCTGTTTGATGATAATGGCTTGTCAAATATTGGATTTATTTGTAAATCATAATGTACTTTATGATACATCTTAGAATAATAATAATTAACAAATATGTATGCTCAACTGAACAATGATATGCGTGTAATGTAAAAATATATTTTCATAACTTTTGTTGGTATATTTTGATTGATCATTAAACTAATGCTCTAAAAGGACAAAAGACATACTGTTTTTTATAAATCCTCACTAATTTTTACATGTATAGTTGTAATTACATAAGTGCTTATTAGCAAGTCTGGTAGCTTTCATTATTACCTAAAAGAAATTTCAAATGAACAAAGTAATATGAAGCTTATGGGATTTTATTTCTTCCATACAGTGCAGTTTGTGATACTATAATATTTCTTTTCCTGGGTATGGTTTTGGTGAATGACGGTCACATTTGGCATACAGGCTTTGTCCTTTGGACAACTGCTCTGTGTTTAATTGCCAGGTTTTGCAGTAAGTAACTATTTTTTATTTACTCCGAAGTATCTCAGTCTTTTGATTTATCTTTATTACTTCCTTATACAATGAAGCTACCATACCTAGCTGGTTTTATGTTTAAAAAATTAAACTTGTTACACGTTTATTATGAATACTGCTTGTTTTTTTGTCAGTTTTGTATAAATGTGTTGAAAAGTAAAATTTGTTTTATGGGTTTTTGAAGTGTTCATAGATTTTTAATATATTTTTGCTATAAAATTATATATTTTTATTACAGATTTATTTTAAATCTTTATTTGAAATAATTTTAAAATAAACAGTTTCTTATTAGTTGATATTTTTGTCTCAAAGTGAAATGAATTTTTTTTTATAGGTGGCTTACATTTAATTGTAATGTATTTTACAGGTGTTTATTTCCTCACATTTCTAGCAAATTACTTTGAGAGACTCCATACAATCAAGATCACTGAGCAGTTTATAATGGTAAAAATAAACAACAGAATTTTTAATTTGCTTAATATTGAAGGTAAAACACTTGATTTTTTAAGGCAGATGTTAATGAGGATTTTGCTTCAAAACATTTCCTTAACAAATCTGGCATAAAACAATCACATCTGTTTTCTGTCTAAAATCTTAATTTTTTGTATGAAGTTTTAACAACAAAACTACAAAAGTTTACTTAATATTTTTCTTACAATATGTAAATGTAATTTATACTTTCAACTATGCATTATGAACATAAAGCTAAAATTTTGGTTGAATAAAGTCTTTGTGTATTTTCTTAGTACATTGATCCTAGGCTTTTGAAACACTGACTTAAATGTTAAACATTTCTTTACATTAATGATGAATTATTATTTAAGGTCTTTGTACTGTGCTGGCTCATTAATTCTTATTTCTGATCACCGTTTATGTGAATATCCAAAATGAACATTTGTATTTATATTCTGTGTGATTTACCTCAAACCATCTGTTTTATACTGTTTTCCAAGACATGATTTTAAATGTTTCTTTTTTAACTTGATCTGATTGATTAACATCGAATATTTTTTTGATGAATTTACCTCGTCTGATAACTAAGACTGGTCAGGTATATAACGTGTTTTATGTATTTATCTGCACATCAGAGGCATCACTAAGTGCTTAAAAGATTCAGGGCTTTGGTCCATAGGTGCAGGAATTTTCATCATTTCAGTATGATATCAATCATGGTTTTATATTTGATTTTTCAAAACACAAACTGTGGACTCAGGGCACTGTCAATTTGAATTAAATCACAGGCCCTATGTGCCGGTGCCTAGCAATGCCTCTGCTGCACATAGGTACATGTATATGTATGGTCTTTTTTGAAATAAGTAAAATGATTTGTAAATAATATAATGTCAAACATTCAAGTAAATTAAACATTTTTCAAAAATGCAAATATGTGTAATTTTTATTTCATTTAAATCAATTTTTTTTATTTGTTTTTAAGCCTTCATATCTTTTCATCACTTATTGTTGTTGATTTCTTTGTAAAAGCACATAAGTGATTAACTTTCTTTGTGCATGTTTTAGGCCTATGGTGGACTGCGTGGAGCTGTAGCCTTTTCCCTAGTTATCATGTTGGATAAACAGATTGTTCCACATAAGTCTCTTTTCATCACAGCCACACTTTTTGTTATTTTATTTACAGTTTTTATTCAAGTAAGCACAGTCATGTAATAAAATACGTTATTAATACTCTATGGTATTCATTTGTATTACACCAAATGTGCTATTCAGTTGGTGTATATATCTTATCTTATCTATTACCCTTAGAAGAAATTTTAATAAGCCAGCAATTAAGAGCAACTTTGTACCCTAACTTTAACTAATGAAATATGTATTAAAATCTCTATCATACTGTTAAGACTTAGTTTTCATTATGACTTTAATCTGAAATAAGAAACAAATAAAGCTATGATAGCAGTTCAGATCGTTAACCTTGCCTATTACAGCTGACAATATTCAAAGTTATATTTCTCAGCTAGTCATTATGTGAATATTATAGAAATGCTCATAATAAAATTATATAAAAATTGGACATATAAAACTCCATCTTAGTAATTTTAGCTATTGATCTAATTTCTTGTGAAATTTTATATTTTCATTAGCATTAATCGCTACTCAGAACAATACTTTTTTTTTATTGTTCTAAGGGTAGTACTATCAAACCTCTTGTAAGCCTGCTGAAGATAAGAATTCAGAATAAAGATTATCACAGTCTTTTCCAGGAAGTCAATACCAAGGTAAAATTTGTATTTTGCTTGAAATTGTCTTAATTTTAAATCAATACATAACTAAACATGCATGAAAATATGCTAGAGACATAGAGATAAAAAACATGTACAAAATAAGCATAATGTCTTGCTTTCACAATAATTATGAACCATCTGTTTGGAATGTAACAGTGTTACTTATTTTTATCATTACAATATTTTACAAAATAATATTTACTTTTGAAATCTTAAATAAAATACACTAATTAAGGTGTTAATATAACAACTATTAATATTTCACAAACCACCAGCAACATTATGAGTTTAATAGAGTTTTCAATACTGTGGGCATTCTTAACGCTAGTGACCCTTACTTATATTTGCACACTTGGTTAAAAGGTAGAGGGGAAAGGACTTTGGTCAAAGTCATAACTAGTGGATTTTGAGAATTCTGGCATTGACTGTTAATCTAAACATTAATTTGTAACACTGTTAAGTAGCTAGCAGACCATTGATATTGTTGTTTAATGAATGTTGAAATATGGTATGCTCATTTTGTTAAAAAAGAAATTTATAGATATGTAAAGTTTTATTGACTTATCAAAGTATGTTTTTTAAAACGATTTTTGCTTTATATGTTAGTCTGTATATATGATAAAATCCTCTGATTGAAAGAATGTTGAATGATATTTTTAGGTGATAGACAATATGATGGCAGGAATAGAGGAAGTAACAGGTGATCACAGTGAAAATTATTGGAAGGTAATATTTTTAAACTAATGTGTAGAATGTACTCAAAATTTTATGTCAGTACAATACATGCAAGGGCATAGGCAGAAATCTATAAAGATGTGCTACTTTTGGATGGAAAAGACAATAGTGCTTTTTAATGGTATCTGCATAAAACTGTTTTTACGCCATTTAAGTATGTTTTTTATATATATGGATGCAATTTAGAGTGTGCAGTTGCACTGACCTCACCCCTTGATGTGTCCCAAAAAAAATAGAACAGTGTTTATCAAACATTGCTGCATTTTCTCTGAGCTTTTGTTCTAGTATACTTCCATTATTGTCTTCACAATTGCATAGCTTAAACTGCAGAAAAAGTATTTAGTTACTGTACAATTTGATCTTACCCACTATCTAATATTGGCTTGGACAACTTTTGCCACAATAAAAGTTTGGACTTTGAGTGGCTTACACTTCACAATATTCTGAAAGATGTATTGCTCAAATATAGCCCATCTGTCAAAGAATATTTTCTGTAGTTGGTTTGTAAAAGTTGGTAAATACAATGTTAGGTTTACCCCAAATATGTTCAAATATACTGAGTACCAGTGATTATGCTAGCCAAGAAAAAATAATGAAGTCACTGTAATGCTCTTCTAACCAATTAAAAACAATTTCAGAATGATGGATTATTTTATTATTAACATCAATGAACTTTTTTTCCTTTTCCATCAAGGTAGAAATGCAACAATGTGCAATAGATATAATTGGCTACAATTGTTAAATAACTCAGAATGCATATTACTCTTTCATAGGAACCAAAAAAACAACAACTCCCCCCCCCCCCACACACACACAATAATATTTCCAACACAGTTACATCACCTCTGACAGTTTGATCTTTCCTACTTGTGTCTGAGAGAAGTGGTTGTTTAAGGACTGATTGACATTTGCCATGTGACAGATGTGGTTTGAGATGGTCAAATTTTGATCAGTATTGAAGGAATAAATCAAATGAAACACACTGTGATGCCTCTTCAGGCATCTTTTCTTTCAGTCAGCATGGATTAAAAGTCATAGTTTTTCTAGTGATTAATACACTTCTTTAATTTGCCACTAGATTCTACTAGATGATTACCTATTATTATACCCATTTGAAATTTAAATAATTTCTTCCTCTTACCCATTGTCTTATAAACTGTGATGTGACTACTCTCTGCACTTATAAGACTCAAGCAATCATATGACATGTGATGTAGCTTATTTTACACTTTACAAAGAGTAGTGCTGTACAAATGTATGTATCAGGGTACAAATAAAGTGACTTTTAGTATAAATAGTAGGGCTTATTGAGATATACTGCATTTTTGTGTCATTCTTCTATTTCCTTGACATTGTGCCATTCATTTCCTAACAGTTTTTATTCTTTGTCATAATTATCTGATGTATAAATATTTTTCCATGGCTTATTTTTATTGATTTTAATTTGTTTGTTTATGTATTTATTTATTTTCACCTAGAATTTAATTTAAGTTTCAGAGAATCTCGTCATATAAATGTTCTGTTTGGCTTGAACGTTTAGACACCAGACATTTACAAATACAGTTTTAGTTTTCAATTTTATTTAGAAAAATCACAGTCTAAATAGATTATTTGATTCTCAAAATTATTAATAACTTAATTGTAAACAATATTTATTGCACAATGTATTATTATTTGTAGTAAATAAAATAAAAAGTTATTTGAAATGAGAATGTTGTGAAACTTTTCAGCAAACTCTATGCTATTACAATGAGCATTACTTGAAGAAGTGGCTTCAACGCAGCACATCTGAGAATAATTTGACAAGAGTATATACAAAGATGGTTCTAGCGTAAGTAAACGCAACTTGCAAAATACAGCACTCTTACTCATTTCTTGATTTATACTTATTTATTTTAGATGGAAACTGCTAAGATCAAAGTTGAATTTGAATTTCCTTTTTAACTTTTCTGCTTTCATAATAGCATAGTAATATGGATCTATCATGCTCTTATATAAAATGGAGTTGTCAAGAAGTTATTTTTATGGCCAAATAGTTATTTACTTTCTGACATAAAAAAACTGTTATTGCTCTTCTAATGAGTCAATCTTACACTTGTTTGTTTGTTTGTTATGAATTTCGCACAAAGCTACACGAGGGATATCTGCGCTAGCCGTTTCTAGCTTAGCAGTGTAAGACTAGAAGGAAGGCAGCTAGTCATCACCGCCAACTCTTGAGCTACTCTTTTTACCAACGAATAGTGGGATTGAATGTCACGTTATAATGCACCCACAGCTAAAAGGGCAAGCATGTTTGGTGGGGCGGGGATTCGAACTCGCAGATTGCGAGTCGAGCACTCTAACCACCTGGTCATGCCGGGCATACACTTTTTTAATATTATCCAACTGTAATATATTATATTTGAAAAATACGTCCTTTATTGAGTAAGGTATTCATGAAAAAATGTATTACGAAGGTATTGTGAATACAAATTTATGTAATTATAGTATAATTTTATTTTTCTGGTTTATTAGTGATCACTATGCACACCTGTATGGACCTGCAACTGCTTTGGAAGACAACCAGCCTCTTATGTTGAACCAGTAAGTTTATTTTTTTAAAGAGGTATTTCTATTTTCATAAATATTTCAATAATTAGAAAAGGTATTGTAAAAACACAAACTGTTATGTCAAAATTTATTTTCTCTTACATCCTACACCAAGTAACCAAACAAGTCCTTCAATGCAATGAAGTCTATTATTTTTTGGCATAAACAGTGATATATTTTGCATAACTAATATCACGAATTTTAAAAAGTCCACCAACCCCAAGCATTGAATTGGCAAAAGTATAAAAAATTGTGAAAATTGAGTATTAATTTAAATTTGTAAATAGAAATTCAAAACAAATGTGGGTGACTTTTAGTTTGGTAAACCCTATACACATATTTCTTCTTTCACGCATGTGCTTATGCAACCATATCTTTATTCATTTCAAAAATATTCATAAAATTTAGTATTTAATGCTTAAAAGTATTTTGATTTCAGGTATACAGATGACATCAATATGCCTATAGATGATGGAATAATAAATTCAGAAAAGGGAAAAACAAAGAGTACGGAGATGACTTCAGATAACAAAAGTACAGAAGGTATATTTCAATTAGCTTATTTATTTATAAAAATGCATTTATCCGTGAAAAACCCCATAAAATGATATCTAGATATATTAATTAGGCTAAACTCCATCAAGTTTATTGTAATCTGTCTATGGGCTAATGAATAAGTGAATTACTGGATTGTTTGATAAGTTAGTTAATAGATTAATAACTATATATGTTTTGAAGAAGATTCTGTTATATTGTATTCCCATTATCTTTTGTATAAATTGATGGACTATTTAGGTGAATAAGTTAACCCTAAATTGACTAACTCCATTGGCTTAATTATTTTTTCTTGACTGTTTATGCACCATATTACAAGTGAGTCTATTAATTACTTTGCTTTTGTAAAGTCCCTTATAATATATTAGTTATATACAAAAAAATATATAATTTCTTTTCATTTACATAGTTCTTTTCTAAAAGTGCAATTCACTATGTAATAGAGATTTAATGATCTACACTCTCAAAATATACAAACTGACTCATTATTTTTTTCAGAACATTGCATACAATTTTTATCATGAGATTTCTTCAGGTGCTTGCTTTGAAAGTGCTATAAATGGACTTGTGCATTGTTTTTTTAGATAATAAATGAAAAACAGTTTTTATATTTTGAAGAAAATACTATCAGTATTGCAGTTATCTCCACTAATTACTGTTATAATGTCATGTGCATCTTCCATAAAACACGAGAATAAGAAATAGTCATGGTTTGTGTTAAATAATTTCTAGATAAATTGAATGAATTGTACAAATAACAAAAGTTTAAAATGTTTGCAACTGATAGTAAAATCACTAATGAAGTAGATTGTTGATATTCATCTGAACAGTATTTAAATATTCTCTGGAGATTGCTCAGGTTTGTGTTAAATATTTTGCTGAGAGACTCCTTGTTAGTGCTGAAAATTCTTGTGCTGATGTTTCTCTGGATATTTTCTGAACAATGTTAGAAATTATCTGGAGGCTGCAATAGTCAAATTTGAAGATTTTTTTAGAACTTACCCTGGTCTTTGTTTAAAATCTTCTAGATATTGTCATGGTCTGTGTTTCAAATTCTGGAGATTGTCTTGGTCTATATGTATGATTATCATGAAGATTGCTTTGGTCTGTATTGAGAACTCACAGGAGATCATCCTGGTTTGTCTTGAAATTTCTCTGGAGATCTTCTGGTCCATGTGAAAAATGATATAAAGATTATTTAGAATCTCATATTTTGTGTTTAAGATTCTTTAGAGATTGGTTTGGTGAATGTTGAAGGTACTCTAATGATTGTCCTATTCTCTGAATATTTTCTAGAGAGGTTTTATCTGTGATAAAGGTTCTCCAGTGATTGTTGTGGTCTGCAATGAAGATTCTGTGGAGATTATCCTAGGTGGCTTGTGTTGAATAGTTCTTTAGAAATTTCTCTAGTTTGTATTGAAGTTTCTGTTGAGATTTTTCCAGTGTGAAAAATTATCTGGATTTTATTGTTTTGTGTTAAAGATTCTTTGCAAATTGTACTGTTGTGTGTTAAAGATTCTCTAAAAATTGTCATGGTTTGCATTGAATATATTTTGGATATGTGAGTAGATTTTTATGTTATAGTCACATTTTACTTTTGTTTAACAGTTTAATGATAGCCAGTTGTATTATAAAATGGAAACCTTGGTATAATGTTAAAAAATTATATGGAAAGATAATTGATGAACTTCAGTTCTTGAGTACGTAGGACTAGGTGAAACTTGGCTTGTTAAGCAGGCTATACATGTTATGTAAGCAAAACTTCAATCAGGCTCAAAAACTATTAAATGATAATTGGAACTCATAATAATTTTGCTACATTTAGTTAAAAACACTGTTATAAAATACTGTCAATCACTTTCCTTATTTAATTTTTCTGCAAATTGGGCATCTGATGATCTGTCATGTAATCTGAAATGCACATGATTAGTTATTCAGCCTATACTTGTAAAGGAACATTTGGAAGACTTGGCTTTATTATTCTACAGTTCATGAAAATATGATGCAAGACCTATTCAGTGTCTGTAGTCTCTTGATGAGATGTAACACATTTCTCAAGGGTATCCCATATATGTTCAATAGGACATGAGCATGTTTACTTCATTCAGTTAATATGCCCTATTTCCAAGGAATGTATGAACCAATATAGCAATGTGGAATTTGGAATATTCACCCATGAGGCTGAAGTTAGGGCCAGTTGCATCAGTTCATGGAAGCACAAGACATTGTAGGGGGTAGTCTCTATAATATCTAACATTCAATAATGATACCCTTCCATAAAAGTTAGAGATAAATATGCCTACATTATTTGATCACCCCCACCATATGCATTACATTCCTATATAAAAGCATGATTTAATCTAGTTCTAGATTCTTTTCAAGTGAATGTAAACTTATTATCTGGCTGCAAGGCCAAGTGCAAATCACCCATAAAAAAAATGACATAGGCATTACTAAGGATGTTGTCAAGTGCAAACTACCTTCCTTTCCCTTTTTTGAACCTCAATTGCATTTTGTTGGGCACAGAAAATTAAATCTAGTGCTACAAATCTGCTAATCATGGCATTAATTAACCTTGTTATAGGGCAGATGCTGGACTGCTACTGACTTAAAGCATACTTAAAACCTAGCTTCCCCCCCATATATGAGATTTGGAATGTTAAAAAGGTGAAATTTTATCATAAAAAAAATTGAATTGAAAAAAAAATGAGGATGTAGATTGTTTGGTTGATGAGGTTTTTATTGTTATGTAGATAATTTTTTCTGTTGCTAGATAGGCAAACATTGGACTGATGCTCAGAGGAGACTTGGATTATTTGGTTAATAAGTGCTGTATTATCTTGGATAAGAGAGATATGACATGTTTGAATCATATTTAATAAGTCAGATGAAGCTCACATTGGTAGGTAGCTGACAACTAAACTTATGGAGAAAATATATTTGGTTTAAGGAGATAAGACCTGAATTATTTGGTTGATAAGTTTTATATTGTTAGATAAGTAAGATTTTCGTAATTAGATAGGTGAAATGTGAACTAAAAGCTGGTAAGAGTGGATTGATAGGCATTAGAGATTTGAACTATTAGGAAGGTGAGACTTGGATTATTAAGTGGGTGAGTAGGTTGTTTGTTCTAATTTATCATAAGTATAGTCAATGGTGAGCTGTCAGGCTTTAACATTGGCTTCTTGTGTGTTGTAAGTTTACATTTCTACAAAAGATGAATTGGAGAGTTTTTAAGGTTATACTTGTAATTCAGCTTTTGTAGTGTTAGTATAAAATTTACTTCTTACTACTGATAGTGCAACAGTTTAAAAACTGTTGGTAATTATAAATAATTAAACAACTAGTTCAAGAAGAAAAAAGTTATTTGCATAAAAATGAAGATACTCAACAGGATATTATCTGTTTGTCAACATACTTTCCTGAGGGTGTTAGCAGATATTTTGAAACAAGCTTAATAAAATAATACTTATCATTTTATTATCTTTCAACCCTATAAATATACACATACTGCAACAAATTTCAGTCTAAGACCTATATAAGGCAGAAACACAAGTCTAATTCATCTGTTGAAATTTATATACAACTCAAACAATGCATCAGATTGTTTGTGTGAGCTGTTGCATATTGTAAACTAAAGGTTTCTTTCTTTAGTGTCATAAACATGTTCCATAATCCTGTCCATGGTATGTCTGTACACTGTACTTCTTAAGATAAATTTGAAAGAAGAATGGTTTTAACATATGGCTGATCAGGTCCTACACCTAAATCTCTGTTTGTAAGGTTAGACTTGAATCCACCCTTTCATACAATGAATTCAGCTGGATTGATTGTAACACTTATTAAAAGAAATAACTGTAAACAGAAAAATTAGTGTGTACAAACTGACCTTTTTCTTGGTAATAAGTACATAGATGAAGCATACCAACACATCATAGATACATTTATGAAACATGTTTATGATGTTAGGAAAAGAGACAAGAAATCGATTTTTTGCTTACAATATGCAACAGCTCATGTGAACAGTATTGTACTGAATATTCCTTTCACAACAGAGCTCATTAGTAAAGGATAGCAGTCAGAGATTAAAAAACGTTTGCTCAACAATTAAATTCTATGGTTACTAAAATCTTTCATATTCTACATACATATGTTTTTAAGTTTGTTTGTTTTTTATGTAAGCTTGGATAAATATTCTAAATAGTTTTATATTGATTTCTGTATGCTAATGTATTACAAGAGAATCAGAAAATCAATGAGAACACATTGCTGTTGTCTTCCAATACTACTAATAATATCAGTGGTTCATATTCTAACTACTGTGTACCTCACGCATTGCTTTATGTATCTATAAATTAGGACAGTAAAATTCACTAAAGATTCTACTGACCATGAGAATATTAATTTAAACTTAGTTCATTTATCTGTATACCAACAAAATGCCTTTGGGTGAGTAATTAACCAAATCTGTTTAAAAAACATTTTTTTAATTTTAGAAAATCACATTTAATATAAATGAAATTGCATATCCTTCAAACAAATTATACTGTACTGTACTTCCAACAATAAAAAGGTGTTAAACCTAATTTTAAGAAATTATGACTAATTTGTAGTTTCTTCAATAATAATTTTGTTACTGTATGTGACTACGACAGTAACACTGCACTTGTTATGATGGATTTTGTTAAGGTATACACATTGGTGTTTTCTTTTATTGTTCTTTTTTGTAAAAGAGCACAGCAAACTTTAATTTTTTTAGGGTAAAACATGAGTTACATCATATATTATATATCCGATCATTTAATAATCCTCACTCAAAGAACTTAATTTAAATTCCAAGCTGTCACCAAAGTAAGCACTTTAATTTTATTCTAGCCTTGAAAAGAACCAAAGTTAAACTGAATGGTGAGTACAATTCTTAGTAGACATGTTTTGCATCGTTTTCATATACTACCTCAGTTTCACAAGAACTGTTTGAAGTGCTAATACTTCTTCTCTGTCTCTCATACGGTTTCAATCACAGTTGAATGTTTCACTAACATTGATCTTAAAAGACTTAAAAAGTGTCTGCTTTTAGTTAAAAATGAAAGACAATTTAATCTTCCTTGCATGTTGTGAGTTCATTATATCAATACTGTGTTTATTTTGAACATAATGTAATCAATATATTTTAATTAATATATAAGCAAACAATAGTGAAAGTGTAAAAGTATTTATGTTGTTACGTATCTGCTCGTTTGTTAATTTCCAATATAAATTCTTTCTGAGAAACTTCAGCGATACAAGTCCTTTCTTAATTAAAACTAGTGTATGCTTTCTTGATACAACTTTTTAGTACACAAAATTTCCACAGTCA